AGAACTTCCTCATTAACGAGACACTCACATGTACACTCACAATGTGTAAGATATTAGGCTATCTGTGTAGTCCTCCTTTCTCTGTAATACTTAAGCTTATTTCCTGTACTGTTGGAATGTGCTGTAGTACAACCTGGTCAAAATGAGTTGTGATCATGTGAGTTATAAAAAATGTATTTTAGATATCTAACTATGCCTAAATAATAAGCCATCAGGAAAATAACATACATACACACACTTCACTACAGACCTCTATCGCTATACAATTATTACTGCTTTCAACAAGCGCGTGATTAGATCTTGAAGGTATTTTGTGAATAAACACACACCTTCCTGTGACATCTGAAACTCAACAGCTGGCCGTCTATCTCTGCATGCCTACTCAATGTGTGATTTTGCCCACTGTGGGAGAAATGTTTGTGAATGGGCCAAGAAACAGGCAAACTCAGTAGTCAGTAGGAAATTTTGGCAAGACCACAGCATTTACAAGATTGTATCCAAGGTAGCTATAAATTTTTCTAAAAAATAACAGAACTGAGAAAATTTTAAAAATTAGATCCAGGTGACCGAGGAATTTCATCTTTTGTAAGATAAAATAATAGCGCAGGGGAGGTACTGAATAAAAAGGCATCAGAACCCTGAAGTCTGCTTATATAGCCCTGGTTTTGCTTGAAGCAGCTCCAGAGCTAGGGAGCAAAGAGGAGTGTCCGGGCTCCAATCGTCGAAGCCCACATCTAGGTTCTGCTTCTCTGTCTTTGAAAAACCCTTTCCCTTGGGTGTCTTTACCCTGTGTACCTCCTGTCATTGCTTTTCTGATTTTCAGTGTCAAACTGTTTTTCTCCTCAGCTCAGAGGAAGTGGGTGGAGAAGCAATATGCTGGGAAGAATATTACAAACTCCCAAGCCCAGATCTTTTGATGAATGACATATTTTGATGTCAGCTGTTATGATGTGGTGACAAACAGCCTCAAACTTTCAGTGGCTTAACACGAAAAAAACAGTATTTATATCTTATTCATACAACACAAAATTGGGGAGTGGGAGGAGGTCAAGGTCATCATTAAGGAGTCCAGGAGAAATAAGAGCTCTCACTCTAGCACTTATGTGCACAATTCACTGGCCAAAACTAGATACATCTCCTCACCCAGTATTAGAGGGGACAGGGCTACCACTCTACCATATTCCCAGGACAGGAGAATCCAAAGGTTTATAAATAGTCCCGTTGGCTACTATAAATACAAACTCAGAAATTCAGAAAAATTCAAGTGGTCTATCATGGTATATGCAGCCTTCTTCTTGCTTTTAGGTTTGTCCTTCCTTTTAGAGATATGTTTGATACCTTTGTTGGGCATGAATATGGCATTATGGGTTCCTTAAACCACAAATAAACCTTCACAGTTCTCTTGGGCTCAAAGCATCAAATCAAAAAGGCCTCATTACAACTATCCTTCCACGTAAAAAGTAATCAAAATGTGAAAGAGTCATCATCTTGGGAGCTTCCAGCCTACACTAGGCATTAGTCACAATAAAAAGGTTAGATTACTCACATGGTTTCAATTTTTCAAGTGAAAGACAGCAGGATCATACAGCAAAGGTATCTGATATGGTAGGAAACATTTCACAAGGAAACTAGGAGAATTACTTCTTGCCTAACCAACTGAAAATTCTGTGGCCTATAATTCCTTATCTTTCTAAAAATATTAATCTGAAACTATTATCAAATGACACCAATCAAAATTATTTTATAAACATACAATTATAGGGGTATACACGCAAGGAAAAACACATACTAATGTAATGCCTTTTTGTTGCATAATTAAAGGTGAAGCATATTCAGAATCATCACCGGATTTCTGTTCTGCAGAGCTAATTCACTTCCCATACGAGAGAGTACAATGCTAAGCAAAATAAAATCAGACACTGAAGATTAAATATTGCGTGGTTTCTCTTAAATAAGAAACCCAAAGTATGAATAATTTCAAGAGCAAAATAAAGGACAGACAGGAAGCAAGGAGGTAAACCCTTTACAATGAGAGGGGGATCCAAGGATAGACGGAGGGAGCAAGGAGGAAGGGAAGGAGGGCAGGGAGGTAGGAAGGACTAGGGCAGTACATGCACAGATACCAACCGCCCCGACCCATGTATTCATTACGCATGGCAAACATGTACTAGTAAAAACACGTTTAAAGACAGCTACAAATCAAAATTGTCATCAATGCTTGCACATATGGTTCAATGCAATCATTATTTGTTTCTGGATGACAGGGCCAGAGACAGCTGTCATTACCTTATTAAATAATAAATCTTTCACCTGTCATTTCCTCTGTATCTTCTTTTACCGTGTTTTCAAAAGGTTTTTTTTTTTCTCCCTCAATCTAGGTAATTAGTTATTCCCCTCTCGTAAAAAAAAAAAAAAAAAAAAAACAACTTAGATGTGGTTAGCTGCTTTTCTCATTAGACACTGCTTTTAAAAAAATGACACCCAATAGCCCATTGTGCATACTGAGCTACTTTTGCTCTTCAAAGTCCATTAAGTTCTTATAAGCCTCAATTAAGTAAAAGAACAGCTAATTAGAACAGTCTGTTTTCAATAGACTTAGAACTTTGCAAGGAAGATGATTCCAAGACTTGTGCCTAACTCCCCCGCTTTCCCATGTGTCCCACTCTCAGTATTTGAGACTAGAAAATAAATTCATTTTTATTTAAGTAAATCAAGCTACTATGGCTATGGTTCACCTTTATACCATGAGAACAGTTTATTTTGGAATCATCCTCTGTAACAAGCCCAGATACAAATATGGCTTGTACGCATTCTACACTGGACCAAAACTGTTATAAGTAAAATACGCAAGGAAAAAAACCAGACTATTTTTGACTTTAGGTCTTTCATTTAACTAATATTCCAGACATTTATCTAAGTTTAATGCTAATAATTACCAATAATATTATTTATAGTAGAAAAGTACCGATACCAATCACCATCGGTGTCTAAGAAGAGCTTGGTGAAGAAACAATTTCATATAAACACGACTAGATAAATGGAGCCCAGATAACATGGAATATGTTTCACAAGAAAATCTTTAAGCATAAAATCCATCTATATGTGCTAAGTCTATCATGATGCACTAAGTAGCACAACAGAAATATGTATTTTGAACAAAAAAATACTTAAACTTTATGCTGTATCATGAGTTGAATTACATTGGAAAAACTCTTATTTTAGTAGGACGTAAATTACTGTTTTAGAATTAAAGATTTAAGCTTGTAAGCAAAGTTCAATTACTGTGAAGATCAGCCATTCTTTGGACTACTTCTTGATTGCTCCTGGTGCCTTCCGCATGTATTCATTACATAACCCCTACTGACTATCCACATAACCTAACCTGGAGCCCAAACAGATACAAATGTGAAATTTTAACAGCTAATTTGCAAAGATTTCAAAGTTCACAACTGACTTACAGAACAATCTCCCTCAAACTCCCGCCTGCTCCCCTGTAGCTGTGACTCCTTGTTCTGATGCAGATAAGGTTGGCGACTGTGTCCTGTAAACAGAGTTTATGTCATCTTGTCCCCGCAGGATACATCAGGCTCTGTCTTCTTTCGAGGCTAAGTTATTAACTGCTTTGTCTCGCTTCTGTACCCTCACTTGCCCTGTACCCCCCCACACCCGTTTCCAAAGACCCAGCCCCTCAGCCAAATGTATAAAACTAGAGCCTATCCTTCGTTCTGATGCCCAGCATTTGGGACGCGAGTTCAGCTGGGTCGATGTGCAGGTAAAATCCTGGAAATAAATCTGCCTTTTTCCAGGTTGGTCTCTCTGATCGCCTGAATTCTGTAACAACTCAACAGAAGCCAAGAGTCGAGAGAAGATCTGGGTACACAACTCCAGCTTACTTAGGCTGCAGTTGGTAGTGTGTTCTGCTTTCGCAATTAAAATGAACTTGACAGTTATAAATTATAGCCATGCTGGACTTCCCAATTAAAAATATCTGTTCATCCTCTCAAAATATGGTTATGCCCACTGAAGAGAATGTGATCAGCTGTTTGCAGAGACACTGCCACGGAAAACAACCAAGAAACCGCCATGAGTCCTGTACTTCATGTGTTCTCCATGCTATGCTAAGTATCTGAAGAGAATGATTAAAAGCAAAACCACACAACTGGGTTTCTGGTGGAAGCAGGGCTACAACCAAGGTCAGGCCGGGAGAGGAACCTAGAGTTCCACACTATCGGCAGAGAGAAGGAAGCTGAAATAACTGGAGATCATTCCTATGAGCTGATTTAATGACAAAAAAGTCTTTCTCTTATATTAAAGAGACAAAAGAAAAGTACGTAAGAATCCTAAGGTCTTTGGAGTGATTAAGTGTAAATAAATTTTATCACTAAAGTGTAAATAAATTTTATCACTAAATAAATTTTATCACTAAATATTAGAAAAGTATGTAAGAATCCTAAGGTCTTTGGAGTGATTAAGTGTAAATAAATTTTATCACTAAATATCAGAATAAACTACATTATCATTGAAACACTGTACGAATCTTTTTGTTCAGGGACCAGATCGCAATGTGATATGGACACCTGTGGTTTTACATTATTTACTTTATTATTCACAGGGCCGTGGCCTGGATTTAAAAAAACAGCATGGGACCAGCTGGACCAGACCAAATCCACTACAGTAATTAATTATGACACTTCTGAGAGCTAGCATTTCTCCAAACCACCCAAAATAAGTAATGACTTTGATGTAATCACTGAATTGTAAGCCACATGTACAAAACAATCACAGAAATGCCATTTTGTGTAAAGACACACAACAGAATCTATCAAACATTTTCACGTACAACTGACCTCCTAAAATTGCTTTAAATTAATTTTGGGCTAGGGATGTAGCTCAGTGGTAGACTGCTTGCCTACCATGCACAAGGCCCTGAGTTCAATCCCCAGTATCACCACCAAAAACATAAGTTAATTAGTTTTTATCCACAGAAGGCATTTCCTTACCTGAGAGAAACTGCATTTGGCCCATAAATCTCTCTCACCGCAGATAAATCGGCTTCCAGCTGAGGGTGCTTGTGCAGCTCCCCATCATAGTTGACCTGGAAGGTGATTCGCAAGTGACTTAGGGGCAAAAACCATCGACACGACCGAAACACAACACTCAGCTGCACACGCCCCCCTGTGCATTCTGCCAGAAACACACTGAGCTTCATTTAAAAACCAAGGTAACTCAGTAGTATTTTCACTGAAGTTCCTGGGCTCACATATGGCTAGTATAATTCATTAGGTTTAAAAGTTAAATCAGACAATTCTAACCCTGAGAAAATGCAAGCCTTAAAACAAGTGAATTTTCAGGCCGATATTCTACAAAACTTATTGAATGAAGATCTAGACCACAGAAAAGCATTTACATTCTCTCTGCAAGAACTAGACCCATACACAAAACAAAACAAATGCTTTGCATTCTGTCGAGCACTGTACTGGTTACTGAACCATTTCATTAGTAAAATCGTCACAATACTAGAAAGTTACTTCTTGGAGAGAAGAAACCTAACTTTAATATGTCTATATTTCTATGATCTTGTTCATGCATGACTAACAAACTCCTGATTTTTCTACTCTGAATAAATAGTTACCTGTGTTCTTTTATATAATAATTTTGGCTTTAATGACCCTTTTTATCATATAATCCTCCATTTTATTGCCCAAGTTATAAAGAACATTTGACCAAGGGGATTATATAAAGAGAAAAACATATATCTATACCATAAAATCTAATTTTAACATTACTCTGAAAAAAAAAACCTGATGAAATACTTCATCCGTATGACTATCTGTATGACTAAAAATAGGACTATTTTTATATATTTAAACTCTGACACTTCTTTATATCAATTTTCATGACAATGAATACAATGACAGTGAATCCGAATAAAATAATGAGGATGCTCAATAATTAAAAGACCCATCACGTTTTATAAAAACTAACCACCTTCCACTGAAGACAACCTGCACTATTCTTAAAAGTGCCACCATTTCAAAATGAGTGTAGGATGGGCGTTGTGGCGCAGCCTGTAATCCCAGCATTCGGGAGGCTGAAGCAGGAGGACTGTTGCGAATTGAAGGCCAGCCTGAGCTATAAAGTGAGTTCAAGACCAGCCTGAACTGCATAGCAAGACCTTGTCTCAAGAAGATCCCCCACTTGCAAAAATCTGAGTGGTACATATAAAACTCCAAAACACAAAAAATGTCATCTGCGAAATCTCACTAATGATTTCAGACAATTTGAAGATAAATAATAACAGTAAAAAGATTTCTAAAGATAATCTTAATGTCTGAGAATATGTGGAAAAGTGAAAACAGACAAGTTACATGGGTTTTCTGGTTAATTACAGAATGCTCTCTGCTCCTATGTCTAGTAACTGTCAGACTCAGATTCCCACTAGGACACACTAACTTGAACTAACTTTGAGACTCGGGATTTGGAAGACTGGTTTACCTACTTGGCCTCCATAATAGAATTCTTCCGAATCGTTATCCCCTTCAGAATCTTCTTCCACTGTACTATTTTGTCTCGACTCCTAATACAATAGAACAAGAAAACGAACTTAACTGTCCCACTAGTTTACTTTCTTTTGCAAATAAAGTAGCAAGTGACCAGGTTTTGTGGCTATTACACAGATTTTATATATAAAATGTCACTAGTGAAGTATAACCCCAAAACAAAAGATAGTAAGTAACAGTTTTGTAGATTCACTTAGCTCATTTTATTATTCAAATAAATAATATAAATATAAATAAATTTTTTTAAGTTTTCCTTCACTGAAATTAGCACTTGCAATTTAATATTTCATGTATGTTAAAAACTATGTATAATCAACTATATCTTCAGTTTTGCTCAGATAAAACATTTGGCAAGCTCATACTAATTCAATTTTTATTAAAAAGTTCCTCTGCATTATTCATCCCAGACTGTTTAATTCTACTGCCAACTCTAAACAACAGTTTAAAAGAAAAGAAGCTTTGAATGCAGTAAGATAAAAATCAAATTATGAAAATATGGATCATATTATGAAAAGAACTTCCAACATATGGAAATTATTTGTTTATTCTGAATTCAGAATTCAGGAATATATTTAATAAACTTTACCTTGAAGTTTGAGTTTTTAATTAACTGAATTACATCTGTTGTGTGTTCAAAGTACAAATAATGAAAATTCATGGTGGTATTCCTGGCACTGGCATTATAAACAGTTGAAGAAAGTAGATTCATTTGGATGAGGCAATTTCTTCATCCAATGTTCGGTCATCTTTCCTAAATTTTAAGTTCTTGAGGAAAACGAAATAGCTAAGAATGGAAAATTTGGATTTTATGAAATTCTTTTTTTTATTTTTATCAGTACTGTCCACACAGGATTTTATGAAATCCTTTTTTTTTTATTTTTAACAGTTCTGTCCACACAGTGATTTTCATTGTGGATAAAGAAGGGAGGAGCTGGTAGCACTGCACTACCAGGAAGGGAGGAATGTATCGGACACACAGCTTTCAGAGGGGGAGCTGCTGACCTGCTGCACTCACTCTGCTTAATGTCCTAGTAACTATTCATAAATTTTCAAAATGAAAGAGACGAATGTTTTTTCAGACACCAAATGATACCCACCCTCTATGTACTTTGGCTAAATAGATCATGTTTTAAAAACAAAGTGTTAAGGGTCCAGTCAAAATTATGTATAGCCATGAACAGTTATTAATAAGAAGATTAAGTAAGTACTGCACCAGTAACTATACTATTTGATGAAAGCATATAGAACATGTTTTGTATGCATTTTATTTAGATTTAAACCAAACATTTGTTTCTATTATTTTAAAGGGAACTTCTTTCTTGAAGTTATTCTTAGGTCCTTCTCCTTACTATTCAAAGAGTTCTTTAGTCATGAGCTTAAGTTTCGTTCACCGCAGGCAACTAATCTGAGTAACAGTAACACGTTAACTACAAACACCTAGTAAGTTTAAAGTATATCTATGCTGTTTTCAGAAAGTAAGAAATATAACTTACATACCTCTCCATTCTCCTTTTGCAATTTGGATTTTATGGATAAGCAACAGTTAATGTCATTTGTTTTTCTTAATTCTGAAAAGCACAAGTTGGAAAAATTATTTTAGTTTTCACTAAGTCATTTACCAAATGTTAATGAGTTTCCATATTGAAAAAAAAAAGAAACCTCAGGTTATTCCCTCTATTTTGGAAAAGAGTTTAAGGTATGTTTTCAAATTTTACGCTTGGGAAAAAAACACAGTATGCAAGCTGTTCTAAGTTCTCACTGTGCATAAAAATGATGATCCGACTAGGGTAGCAGTATACTGACTTCTTCAACTCTCACTATAAATTTTGTATCTTCAATGCATGGATTTTATGTTGTTAACACTGTCATCATGGGAGAGGTATTTTTTATAAGAGAAATTGTCAACATAATACACTTAAGCTGGGGGCTGGGGATTTAGCTCAGCGGACAGTGCCTGCCTGGCAAGCACAAGGTCATGAGTTTGATTCCCGGTACCAGAAAAAAACAAACAAACAAACAAAAACCACTTGAGTAAAGTTTTTTTAAAGTACTATAAGCTTATTCTTTTCAAAAATTATTTTTTAAAACTTTCATGCACTTTAGACAGTATGTTTATATGGAGAACCAGACTTAGAGGTGTTAAAGGTGAATATTTTTAATATAAACTAAAGAAAACAAACCCAAAGCTACTAAATTAAGAAAAATGGACCTAAGATAAGAACACACTGTGTTATTATTACCTGTTGCTATTCTATGAAAAATGACTGGAATTGGCTCTGTTGTAACTAGTACATCTTCATCATTTTCTGAACTTGACACATATGTATTGTCTGCAATGAAATATAGATAATTAAAGGCAAAATCACCAGGAAAGTACCGCCTTCATAAAAATAATAAACTCACATCCATATCATGTTAGTTCCAATTCTCATAAAGGACACATTGCTACTCTAAACTCCGAAGTGAACTGTATTTTTATATGTGGATTGAGTGTAAACCGCCTCTTCAAAGAGGCCTGCATCCCTTTGAGAAATACAAACTTTAGATAGAACCAAGTCATCTCATTTCTAATATGTCACACATCACTCGAATGCCAACTAGTTGCTCACGGAACTGAGTGCCGCTCCATGTCAGCAGCTACTGTAAAAGGCAGAACTAGTGAGTAGAGGGAGAAAACTAAAAATATTTAGTAAAATAAAAAATAAAATTCGCACAACCGGGCATGGTGGCACACGCCTGTGCCTGTAACCCCAGCATTTGAGAGGCTGAGGCAGGAGGATTGTTTCATTACAAGTTCGAGACCAGGGTTACAAAGTGACCTCAAGGCCAGCCTAAACTGCATAGTGAGACCCTGTCTCAAAAAGACAAAAAAAAAAGATTCACAGTCATGTCATTCACAAATGTGAACTGAAGATTTTGGTGCCATCATACCCTCTATATTGTCCTACTATCCGTTCCTAAAGGATGTGAGGTCACACAATGATTATTCTTGCATAAATTATCTATGTGTACTATATATATTGAGTACAAGGCATTAAATCTTTTATAAGTTTACCACTTTCCCCATAGAGATCTGTAAGTATATAGTAATCTAATTTAATACCCAGGTTACTTATTCTACTTTTCTCGGTGATGACTGCAATGCATCTGTAAGACAGCTATTTAATGAACAGTTCACTAATAATAGTCCTGTAATGTACCCATTCATGACTTACTAAATAGTATAAATAAAACATCAAAAAATAATGACAGACAGGCATGGTGGTACACACTGTAATCCCAGCACTTGGGAGGCTGAGGCAGAAGGATCACTGTGTGTTTGGGGCCAGCCTGGGCTACAAAGTGAGTTCAAGGCCAGCCTGAACTGCACAGTGAATCCCTGTCTCAAGAAGACCAAAAGAAAGAAAAAATGAAAACATTAACTGAGTGTTGACATGACTGAACAAAGGCATGTCAGAATCTCTGTGAACCACATCCTCATAATATTGTGTCAGCACAGCGTGAACATGATTTTTAATTGATAGATATCTAAGTCATTACTTCGTTTCTTAAAAAAATCTCTATGCTATTTTTGGCATTGGAGAATAAGTGAATGGCAGTGATATGTATGCACAGCTTAGCTCAAGACTCTCAATAGACATGAGGCTTTAATAGCTATTCGGGAAGGTGAGAAGGAGTAGGTGTCAATTACATGTGAAACAAATCAAGTTTGCCACACTGTTCTCTGAGAAGTGTTAATCACAGATTTTGTTTTATTTCATCTTTCAAATACTATTAAAGAAGTTATGAAATTTTCACGTTTATCAAGTGGGGTAACAGGATTAAGAAGTAGACTGAATATAAATTTACTGCACTTGTTATTTCAGTCTGTTGGCTGGGAGGCTGACAGCTTATGGAGAAACTCTTCCGCCAGCAACCTCGGACTTTCAGCCCAGTGTCAAACCTCTCCATACGGGGTTCCTGGTTCAAGGGTATTTGCTACTAGGCATAAAGGATTCCGTGACGCAAATGTTAGGAGAAGATTATTAAACAGTGCATTAAGGTAAAGGGAGTAAAAGCTGACCAGTGACTAGAAGGGAAGGTCTACATAGTCCATAAAGTGGACCACTGCATGCAGTATCACGGAATTCTGGAGATTTTATTTTAAAAAACCTTTAGAGGCAAGCAAAATAAGGTAATACACTTTAGAAAATGGAATAACACAACGAGTAGCTCAACCTAAAGGATTTTTCTATCAAAGTGTTTTACATGGAATAATATACAAACTACTCTCAAATTCATTACAAAAGAAAAACACCTTCACTACAAAATCCAAGCACAAAGTTTAAACCACTAGGCAGAGAGATTAAAGAATTTTAGAGAATATAATTTGGTGAATATGTATTGAGCAATCCTAAAGATGAGAATTCTGCCTTCAAATGTATTTTCTGAACCACACTAGTGGTGCACGCCTGTTGCGTCCCAGCACTCTGGGAGGCTTGAAGTAAAAGGACCACAAGTTCAAGGCCAGCCTGGGCAACTTAGTGAGACCCTGCCTCAAAATAAAAATAAAATTTAAAAAGGGATGGGATGTACTCATTGTGAAGGTCCTGGGTTCAGTCTGAGATTTCCCACCAGTTTGTATTTTGATTAGTTTTTAGGCGTTATACTTTTGTTTTTGGCTTAACATACGCCAAATCAAAATATTCTCAGGCCTCGTGAACTTTATCTATTAAATTCCCATTGTGACGTGAGAAGCCACATCAGATCACAGAGGGATACACAGTTACGATCACAATAGCAGCCGAGCAAAGAACACATCAATTCTAGATGTTATTTCGATTTCTTTTGAAAGCGTTCAAGAAGGACTGAAAATACTTTTTCTTTTTTGCTAACATTTTGAACATAGTGACTTTTAAAAATAACACATGTTGTAATATAACTAAAAGTGAAAAACAGAACCCAGTAACAATCATGCAAGAAAAATATGACGGTTGCCCTAGAGCCATTCCAAAAATGATACCAAGCTCAGGCAGATCATATCAAATGATCAAAGTACAGTTTAGCTCCTTCAGTGGCAGGAAGCCGGGAATGCCAATGTATACGGCAAAGCACAAGTAAGTTTCACAGATCAACATTACGGTATCTATTATAATTTGTCACTTCATTGTTTAAAAAGGAAAATATACATGACAACTCAACAGATGTCAAACAAGAATGTTTAGGAAAAATATGTGAGAAAAAGAGTGGTTCTTTCTTCTGAAAGCAACTGAAAGTATGCTAATTTTGAGAGAAAGGACAAAGCTGGTGACTTTCGTATCTCCTACTAAAAATTACTCCACACATTCTAGCTAGGGCCAGGAGACCACAGAACTCTGAAGGCTAGAAAGGAAAGGCAAAGATTTATTATCAAGTTGTCAATCTGAAAAGTCAAGCCTGATAACTATTCTTAGCACAAATAAATATGGACTAAAATTTGGTAATGGCAAAAGTGTTACCATATTTATGTTCACTTTGAAAACAGTCTACATAGGGGCTGGGGATTTAGCTCAGCAGCACAGCGCCTGCCTGACAAGTACAAGGTCATGAGTTCGATTCCTGGTACCAGAGAAAAACCAAAACCAAAAAAAAAAAAAAGAAATGAAAACAGTCTACATAAAAGCACTAATACTACTTCTTCCAGAGAAGCAACAGAAGTCAGGACTGAACTGCAGGCCTTGCTGAGCCATCAAACTACATGCTCTGGGGAAACGACTGCCCGTTTCCCTACCACGTGGGCTGGTGAGTAGAGTGAAATTAATTACACATGTGGGAACACGTGGAAAACTGGGCTCTGTACAGGGTATTTGGGTGTAGTAGACGCAGCAACCAATTCAAAACTGTGCCTCAGATTTTCAGACTGGATGCTCTACTCTCCCATCTTGTGTTTTCAAAAATGTAATTATATTGGACCTTTGCTACACACTTGCTCGAAGGAGGGAATTCAGTTAAAAAAAAAAAAAAGACACAAATGATAACTACTGCTTTATTTTAAAATTCAATTTTTAAAACATTTCCAAGTGGGACTGTCAAGTGAGAAAAACCTTGAGTAATACCTCTTGGCCACAAGAGGGAGCTAAACATGAGAACCACTTCGTTTCCCCGAGGCATCAACTTCCACATACCCAGCACTACAGAACACCTCTCTTTGGGACCTTCACACTGGGCTGTGATCTGTGGCATTACCTCTGACATCTCTGCTTGAGGTCTGCGTCTCTCATGGCTGACATCTCTACAAGATGCCTTGGTGAGACACATAATAATTATAATATTTATAATAAATAATGGGCTTTCATTTTCCAAGCAAAATTAACAAACATTCAGGATCAAAAACACTTTCCAGAAATATGAGGGACTTTACCACCTTCAAAAAATATTTTTCTTAGAGGTATTTCTTGTCTTGGTTCTTCCGTAAAAACCTTCCTAGAACATTGCTTTATACTATTAAGAAGAAGCATGTACTTAATGGAAAGCAATCCCCATTCACCACTATACACAGTTTTGAAGAAATACATGGAGTGCATAGCAGAATAACAATAAGGAAGTTTATGGTTTGCAAAATTATTTTAAAGTGTAAAATGATTAAATGCTTAATGCAAAGTGCCTGTATCAAATTATGAATTGATTAGCTTTTAAAATAAACTCAAATATATGTGTATATATACACACACATACACAGAGAAATGACGGAATAAATAAATTAAGCTATATTTCTGTGATGCAAGGCCAAACAATGTTTCAAAATAACGAGTCCAGTTCAGAAATCTGTTTAGTTGTAGTGATGAAAAGCCATCTGAACAACTCCTCACTGGAAAGTTTTCCTGATTCTGGACTGCATCTTACAGTAAGATAAACACCTTGCCGGAAGCTGACAGAGAGTGCTTCTGCCAATGCTTTTTACAGCTCAGTGCATTTCTATATATTGTACATGTCCAAAAGGAAAACATATTGAGAGTAATGACATGAATACTTGTAATAAAAAAAACTGAAAAAGCTTACCTGGATAATCTTCAGATACATGTACCGAGTAGGATACACTGTTAAAAAGAAGAAAGGCTTACGTTACTATAAAGGTACTCATGATTTTACAAAAAAATCCCATGACACTCATTTACTTACACAGATGTAAGTATAAAGGGATAACATCCAAACGTAGTAGTAACTTGACATGGAAAACTTTAATATTCACTGTCCATGAGTCTAAGTGGATCTTTCTAGAACAACTCTGAAATACCTTCTCTCAAAATATACTTTTTGATATTGATAATTTTTCATTTCAGCAATGACTAAAATTTCCTGTTCTGATACTCATATTTCCTCCCACTTAATGCATTACTCAAAAAAGATTTTGGTTTGGGGGGTTTTTTGTTTTTGATTTTGGGGTTTGTTTTTTTTTTGAGACAAGTTCTCACTATGTAATTAGGGTTAGCCTTGAACTCACTATGTAGCCTAGGGTGTCCTCAGACTTACAGCAATCCTCCTGCCTCACCCTTCCGAGTGATGGGATTACAAGCATGTGCCACCACATCTGGTTTGCTCAAAGGTTAAACATTCAGCCAGGTATGGTGGTTCCTGTCTGTAATCCCAGCACTCAGGAGGCTGAGGCAGGAGGATTGTCATGAGTTTGAGGCCACTCTCAGCTACACAGCGAGCCTTCAAGGCCAGCCTGGACTACATAGCAAGACCCTGCCTCAAAAAAACAAAAGCAAACAAGGAAAAACAAAAAAAAGTTAAACATTCATTTTTAATATTTAATACTGCTTGTTCATAATAAGGCATCCTTTTAAAAACTGTCCTTAAAAAGAGTAAGAAATGATCCAAGTGCAACAGACATTCGTCATCAATCTTTCATCACAAATAAATTTTAAATAGCTCAATTTAGAATTTAGAATCTTTCAATTCTAGAAAGGGATGAATTGTTTCAAAACTGATTTTTACATGGCATGTCAACAGTCCTAACGCTCCTTTTTCAGTGACTCCATTGCTTCCATAAAATTCTAGTGTGACATACAGGGGTTCTTCACACTTATCTACTATTAACTAGGTCACCATCTCTAGAAGTCAGGGCCTACGTCCATGTCTATTTCCAGCAGAGTCACCTATTTAGAGCAGGAGCCCCAGCACATATTCAACAGTTACATGAGCACAGTGGTGGAGCAGCCTCCAGCCACAGCCAAGTCAAAACCCACTCTGAGTTCGGCAAAAGTACCTGCCTGCTAAGAAAACCAGTCAACAGACAGTAGTCTACACTAAGTGTCCTTCAACACAGAATCCAACACAATTCACAACTCCCACAATATACGCACACACAGGAAAATGTAATCTATACCCAAGAGAAGAGATGACTCAAGAGCTGGAATTCGCTCACAGTGACGTGAAAACAATTAAGCAAACTTTAAGATGTAAAGAAGAATCCAACCTAAAGAAGACAGTAACAAACAGGAAGCGTTGAGGATTTATGGGACACTAGCGCAGAGCTAATACGTGTATAATTCCTTTTAAAAGGTCAAAGAGAAAAATGTATTTAAAAACCAGGACATAAGACAGAGGATTTCCCCATTCAGGTGATGATCAATGAGTCTCAGAAAATCCCAAAGTAAGTAGTAAAGAGTTTATAATTGCTTCCAAAGAAGTCAGGGAGCACATCACATTCAAGGAAATAATGCTAAGAACCAACGGGGTCTGGGGTGGACAGCGAGAGACAACTGTCAACCAGGACCTTCACGTCCTGCCCACGCATCTGTCAGAAATGAAGGCAAAATAAACTTTCAGATCAGGGAAGCTTGTTACAACCTGTCCACAGTAGACTTGCCACATCCTAACCTAAACAAAGTTCTCCTGGGGAATGATAGCAGATGGAAAAACAAATATGCAAAAGGAATGAAGTATACCATTAACTACAAACATAACACTAGAAATTGATTTTCCCAGAAGACTGTAACTGCAGGATACCAACATATACCATACTCTGAGCTACAACACGGTCTCCTAAATCTGAACGGGTGAAGACCGTGGCTCACCATTAGCTCGCATACCCTGAGCTTCTGGGCTCATCTTGATCTTAGGATCTGAGTCGTGAGTCCTGGAAAAACCACCGCCTTGTTTAACTTGCGGCTGGATTTAGGGCTCTGTGACTGTGCTTATAAGGCAATGCAACGCTTCCCAGGCAAGCACAAGTCCCCAAGATTCCACCAGTCAAGTCCCTGGCCGGCTGCTTAGTCTGTGGAAAGAGCTGAAGCAGAGACAAAAAAGACCAAATAAGTGAGTAGGAAAGAAGGATGCTTAGTAATGAGACCAAGTACTGAGAGACTGTTCTTCCATAAAGCACGTTTAATGGTTCAATTATGAGCTCAAGAAGCACCTTTGATAGCATATAACTTATAAACACTGTGTTCATGTCAAATGATATTTAAGCGGAGAAAGAACAGAGGGGCTGAATGCCCATGATTAATTCCTACAGAAACAGAATATGAAACCTGATGAATACGACGGACAAAGGAACTTGAACACACATCTGAAGCATGTAACAGTTTTTTAACTTATAAATAATATAGATTCACAGAACGTTGCAAAGGTTATACAAAGGTCTCCCGTGTCTTTCACTCAGTTTCTCCCCTTGCTTAAACATTACAGACCTACAGGAGAACACCACAGACAGGAAAATGACATTGGTGTAAAGGTTGGTGTGGCTTTATGTCATTTTATCACACATACACCACGTATCCACGGCCACAAGTCCAGATACACAACTACTGACGCAAAGGCTCCCCTCACGCTTTTAGAGACAGATTTATCTTTCAGCCCAGCATGCCTAACACCAGGCAGCCATTCAGCATGCACCACCTCTATAATTGTGTTATCTCAACAGTGCCGTACCGGGATAAGTATATCCGAAGTGAGGAAGAACATTTTGAGAGGGATTAATGACAGTGTGTCTTTTACTGTAACAAATTTTTAAAAATTAAAAACACAATGTTATATAAATGGAACCACAGCTTATGAGCCCCAATATTTAAGGCACAATTCAAATCTTGAAAAAAATTACTCTCATAGGCAACATTTAGGATAAAAAGACGAAAAGAGAGATCAGATTCAGAAGCTATCACAGCAGTAAAATACAAGCGAGCAAGTATCAGTGGCAAACTGTGTAATAGGTGCAAAAGGCAGGGACAAGTGGCAGATGTTGGACCCCAGCCAAGACCCCAGCTTCGGGAATCATGGCCCCAAATCTAACAAAATGAATGATGAAATTCCCACGCCAGTTGTGCTTCAGCCAAGCTAGGGGACATACACACTGTGGCCCTCTATGTATTTTCCCATGACTTTCTCACTTATGCAGTAGAACCACACTATGTAAACCAAGGACCCAGACTGTCAGGCCCCGCTTCTGATCTGGCAGTGTGTGCACAGAAGTCTGGCCTCTCGCCAGGGATTATGCTCAGCACTAAGCTGAATCCATCCCCAGCAGCCTTCCATCTCAACAGCAGTTGGCTTCCTTTTCATTTAAATCGGTGTCTACATACAAAATGAAGACTTAATTCATTCCTTTGTCTACCTCCACTAAGTGAGGCGGTTAGGAGTTGTGAGTAAGACAAGCAGGAGTCAAACTCTCACTTTGAGGCTCATCAGATCTGTGGCGAAGGGAAAGTTACACACACTCGCTTCCATCCTTCTTCAGTCCCTCAGGAAAATGGAAGAATCCCTACCTCCACCTTCTGGGCCTGCTGTGGCGGCTTTAGTGGATTACCATGTGGGAGGGCCCCAGGACAAAGACAGACACAGAGCAGCAGGTGCTCAGCAACTTCAGTCAGCCTCCACACAAGCAATTAAAATCTACAGCAGTGAAATTCTGTATGAATGAATATTCTTTGGGGAAATCAATTTGCTAAAAAATACAATATATTATATTTTCAATGACCCAAGCTAACACTGATGATTTCATTTTAGGGTTGTATCATACTCATGATAAGAAGAGATGCTCCTATGTGCATGACCATACCTAATTTTTCAAAAACAAAACAGAAAACAAAAGCCCTGCACTATATGATTCATCAGCTCCTTGTGCTACACTGTTTTCTCGGTAGAATGGCAGAGAGAAAATCACCAGGACTGTAAAATCCTCATCAGTTTCACTGGGTGGTTTATAGAGCTCTGAGGGAAAGAATCTAGTACAAGCAGACATGGATGATTACACTAGAGGATCGTATAGGTAGGGCCAAAAAAAAAAAAAGTACAAAGAGAAAACTGTAAGTAGTTTTAAAGTTAGATGGGTCCTGCTGTATGTAATAAGTACTACAAAGCAGTGAAAACTGGAAAAGGTGAACTTAAGAAGAAAGCAAATTCTGAGGCACTCTGAATTCTTGTTGAGGAAAGGAGTCTGGAATGTTCTGGAATATGCCGCATTATAAGTTCTTGAGCTTTGTCAAGAACTCAGATCAGCCAATAAGTGTTTTGTATATACTTATTTGCACAGGAAATAAGAAAGGGCTAGGGCTTCCTAAAAATAAAATCAGAGTTTGAAACTAGAACCTATAAATTATTTCTCCAACCTCCTTACTTTTCAAACAAAATGGTTACTTTCTCTTCTCATTCCTCTGAAAACACTTGGCTGAGTGCAAGCTCTCTCTCTGGGGTGAAGAGACACAGCGGTGGGTCTAGAGGAGTTCTTCCGGTGATCAACGTTTACCTAGTCTTGTGTTCTGTTCAAACAGTCTGTTTGCTCCTCTAACAACACCTAACATCGTTCTTGTTTTTAAACTCACCGCTCAGTCCTTTACTATTCTGTTGCTTCTGGAAAGTCTAACAAGAGCTAAGAGCTGATAGTTTAGTTCTACTTCCCAGGTCCTCAGACGTAAGAAAGTTCTTTAGGAGTTACTGGAGCTAGGTGAGGTGGCATGCGCCTGTAATCCCAGCACTCTGAGGGCCTGGGCCACTTAGTGACTCAGTGAGACTTTCCATCTAAAAATCTCAATCTCCCCAATAAACTATTGACTCACTTCTTTTATCTCTGCCAGTGTGATCAGAATTCTTAGAACTG